CACACATACATTTTCTTTCGCCCACGTTCAGAAGCCCTTGCATTAAAAATGGGCATTCTTGGTTCGTTTCGCCTGCCGCGAGAGGCATGCATGACCTTATTCGCTATTGTTTTAGGATTTTAAATGATTTAAGAAATCACCTCACCTAACAATATTACAAAAATATTACGTGTTAGAAATACTAGTAGAGTGTACTTCTCGACTTCTGACTTCCTTTTGTGTAGTATTTAATCAGGCCACACAATCAAAGAAGTTACAACAAAGGAAAACACAAAATGATACTGAGCAGATTTGAATTAGGGTGGCCAAGTGCTACTAAGGGGGTGTTCGTTTTCCGTGACTTTTTTGTGTAGGGACTAGAAAAAGTCCCTTTTAGAGACTTTTTTACCAAATGGGAGGGATTTTTTAGGGACTAAACTAGGTATTTGGGACTAAATGAAGAAGACTCTCAAGGAGAGTCTTTTTTGGAATTTTTTGGGACTTTTTCAACAATGCCCCTCCATGCATTCATTGACCCGCCACCCCATGGTGTTGTTTGATTGTTATTTTTCTATATACTAGGGGCAACATAGTCATTTAATAACCTTTAGGAAGGGACTAGGAACTTTTTAGTCTCTGGAAACAAACAGGGAGGGACTTTTTAGGGACTAGAGACTTTTTAGTTGGGACTAAAAAAAGTCCTAGGACTTATGAACCAAACAGGGCCTAAAATAGGTTGGGGGAGGACCAAACCTTAAGCAAATAAATGTGTAGCAGTAAAAATAATAATCTAATTCTGCACTGTTTATCAGCAATTTGATAGCAAATTCAGAGCATTTGACAAAAAAACTACCACATTTCACGTATCTGTCCCACAGAACTACCACATTTTGAAAACTGACAAAAACTCCAGATTAGTGTTGATTTCGTGACAAAAAACTACCAAGTTCACTTGATGACAGATTTAACCGTTTTAAAAGCAAATCTGACAAGGCTGGCCCACCGGTCAGGACAGCGGCCGCGCTAATGGCTAACGGCGCTCGCCTGCCGCCCGTTAGCCACGCGCGAGGGTCGGCGGCGCCAAGGACGAAGGAGCTGAGCAGGGGGTGGCTGGGGCCGAGCACCGACCCCCCGCGCGCGGACGAAGCTGGAGCCCGGCGGCCCTTCCCCGCCACGGCGCCGCTCCCGGCCAAGGAAGCCGACAAGGGAGGAGCAGTGGCACGCGCCCTCCGGCCAGCGGCGTCAGGAAGGACGGCTCGGTGACGAGGTCGCGCCAGCGCTTGCGCGCGGCCGCACAACGGAAGAGGTCGGCGACGCCGGGCACGCGCGCGAGGATCTCCGGAAGCCTCACCAGCGAGGGCGCTTCCGGAGCCCTCATCTCGATCTCCTCCCGCGACGCGACCGGGTCCGACCGACGCGCCTGGCTAACGAGCGGCAGGCGAGTGTCGTTAGTGGCCGCCGTCCTGGCCGGTGGGCCAGCCCTGTCAGAAAGGCGATTAAACTAGTTAAATTTGTCATCAAGTGAACTTGGTAGTTTTTGTCACGAAATCAGCATTAATCTGGAGTTTTTGGTCAGTTTTCAAAATGTGGTAGTTCTATGGGACGGATACGTGAAATGTGGTAGCTTTTTGTCAAATACTCGCAAATTCATGATGTTAGAGGGGACCAAGGCCCCTGCTGGCGCCTGGCGGCCCTGTCTCCGTCACTGATCTCATGGCTCTTGCTCCACAATATGATTCTCAGTCTTGCCAGGAGGGAGTGGCCACAGGACCCAATCTGCCAGCTCTGTCTCCAGGCCCCTGAGACCGCCTCTCATCTATGCAGAAATTGGCCCTTTACTTCAGTCGTCCATGAGCTGGTGTTGCCTTGGATGAGTTTCCTACACTTTCTTGATCCGGCGGATACCTTCTCGTCAATTGATGAATGGTGAGAAGGCTGGCAGAAGGATTCCAGCAACAATCTGAGGAGGCGCCTCAACGCTCATGAACGTCATGTGGAATGCGTGGAAGGAAACGAACCGTCGCATTTTCAATGGCAGAAGAATGACTTAAATCGTTACTATGGGACATGCTCGAGCTCCCATGACATATGGAACCAAAATTGGAAGTGATTATACTTCCAGCCGCGCCGCAGCCCGCACCTGCGCCAACGCGCGCCCAGCGATGCACCTCCAAGCGCCCGACGTGAAAACGCGGCCCTCGCGTCCGCGCCCTGCCACCCCTCTGCTGCCGTGCAGCTCCACATGGCGGACGCCTCGTCGCGTCGCCCGACGGCCAGAGCCGCCCCTGGCCGCCTCGCACCTCGCCAGCAGCGCACCACGCCTGGGCCTCCACGCCGCGCGCCGCCCAGAGCCTTCACACCGCACGCCCATGCCTTGCCCATACCCACCGCCGGCAGCAGCCGCCGACGCCAACCCACATCCGCCTTGGGGAAGAAAAGCCCCACTATAGCCTACATCTGCATGGTGCTGGCAGGCCGCGGTGGCTCAGTCTGCGATGGGAGGCCTTGGATCCGGCCAGCTATGGTCGGATCTGGCTTGGCGGCTGGATTTGATGGCTGGACGCTTGCTGCGGCGGCTCCTAGCCGTTCTTCATCGACAAGCTGATCTGTGGGTGGTGATTCCATTCTGGAGGTTCAGCTGGTTTGGTCAGGGCATTGTGCTACTACACCGGGCGAAAGCTTTGACTCTGGTTTTGGCCGGAGCCGGCAGACGGCGGCGCTCGTGGGCGTCGTGACCTTCTTGAAGGCGTTGCCGTGGTGAAGTGCTCATCTCCTTACCGACCCTTTCTCCGAGGGAAACCTCAGATCTGTGCATTCATGGATCGGACGATGGCAGTGTCATGCGTCGTGCCCTCTTGAGGGCTTCGTCTTTGGAGGTGGGGATCAGTTGGAGGGACTAGTGGCGGGTGCGCCAGAGTGGTGAGTTTGTGGCGAGGCTTCTGTGGCAACGATGGCGGTGGTGAGTGAGGTCGGAGGCACGGCAATGGTTGTGTTAGTCGGCTCTTCTTCGGCGTGTTCGTGGGATTGCCTTAGCCCGTTTGTTGCTGTGAAGTCGGAGCTGAGGAGGCGGGGCCCCTGTGGCAACGATGACGAGTAGCAGGTGGTCTGTTCGGCGGTCTTTCATGGCGCCAACCTTGCATATTTCTTCTTCGTAGCTCTCTGTTAGAGTCGGAGCTGCGCTGTCCTCGACGCAGGTGGCTGAGTTTTGGTGCGGAGCTTCATTTGTCTCCACATGGCCTCTATGGTGTGGGTTGGGTTGATGCTTGTCTACGGTGAAGTCGGGGTCATTTGCTCGGGAATTAGGGATGGCGATGACGCCGCTGGAGGAGAAGTGATGACGATGACACGTGTGTGCTAGCTCGACGAAGCCCTCTTCAGAGAGGGGTGTATGGGGTATTCTATGTGTGCCACTCAGCGGATTGTGACGGTTTTCGCCCGGTTTTCCGTTAATTAACTGGGCAATTCTCTTCTGCTTAATTAATGGATGAGTAAAATCTTTTGCCTCCGTTTAAAAAAAGGTTATTACACTTCCATCCTCTAGAGCAGCACACGACAGCGATACTACTCAGTTCCAAAGTGTAACTTCTTCCACTGACACATCAGCCTTATCAACGGTACTATCCTTGTGGACTTGTCTAGAGCAGCCCACATTCATAAGGTGGTGAAGAAGGCGGATGGGGTTCTTCGTGACCACTATGCCGCATAACGCCACATGGTTTGAGCACCATGTTGCCCCTATGTATCAAAATAGGCTTCTGCCCCGCTTTATAAATAAAGCCATCACCACGTTCGTTCAACAATTTCAAGTGCAGCAAAATAAAATAGTCTGCTGGGGCAACATCACAAACACGCCCAAAGAACACATAAAAGAAATAGAAGGAAGACCACCAAGTGGTCGAAGTCTCAAGAGGCCCGCGGCGAGGCAAGTCGGCGAGCGACAATAGTCATTGCATCCATCATAAGGCCCACCCGACCGCGGTCTCACTAGTTAGACAGCGGGTGCCAATTCTACAAAAATGTGAGGAATTTTAAGTTAGCTAGAGGCATGCCTAAGAATGACCCACTCAATCACCATCTTTAGTTTGGGTCGTCCACAACGTCCAATCTAGTTCCTCGAGCACAAGCTAGAAGAGTCGGCTCCTCTTTCTGGTTTTGTTGGCACAGGTTTAAAGAAACCTGGCCAGGTCCAGGGCCTCCCAGTCAGGCCCCAAATGCTCGCGAAAAATCCCAAAGAACTCTAGCAGTCGTGCAAGTGAAGAGGATGTGGGTCCCCGTCACCTGGAGACCACAAAGATGTCACAACCCGTTTCCAGGGTCGTGTCTCTTGATCACCTCTGTCCAGATGAGATGCGATCCAACAACAATTGCCAAACAATTTTTTGATATTCAAGGGTAAGGACGCT